TATTATTATTCAGACGTTCCGCCATTAAAATGACCTTTTGTTAATTCTTAGCTTGCATGGTTGTTTAAATAGTTTGTCGAGAACTTCTTAATAGATGGGTTTCTGAACGTGACATTCTATTACAGTCCATAAAATACTACTGCTGTAGGTACATAGGCCTCCCCATAGGCTACCTCTTAGGGGGGATTTTGATAGATTTATCACGCTTGGCAGACGGGTTGGTAACCGCAGTATTTTATTATATTTGAAGTGTTACTAGGAAGTGTGAGTGTGTGAGTTTGAGGTATTACCTCTTATGACGCTCACGGGATGATATGAGGCAGAACATATTATTACACTGCCACTACACGGTTCATTGCATTATAGTGTTATTTTTTTATTATATGGTACGTCTTCTAAAAACATAATTACGACTCACTTTCCTAATTTTTTATCGTAGAAGTCAAAGTCTGCACTTTTTAACTGCTCAGTATAATAACTATCTAGATTTGATACACAAACAATAAAGAGACGCCAGAGCTTTTGTGAGCGGAAAATATTAAAAAGGCTAGACTAGAGTCAACTTTGAACTATGGTATTGCGTTTGTAAGAACCATTCTAAAGAAAGTTTTTACAGTGGTGAAATGAGAGAATATTTTAAGTATGGAGCAGGTTAACAATTTTTTCATGATTTTCTTTTAATTGAGTTATATCTTATATCTTCGGCAATTGCGAATCGATTTTGATGTTTTTTTTTATTTAAAAGGTGGTACTTTTGTGGTCCCGTATAATTTTATCAAGATCTGATCAGTAGTTTTTGAGTTATCCATAGTAATGCGTATTTAATTTACCTCGAATTCACTAATGATGTTCTCATTTTATTTATATTGAAGCCGGTTGTACAAAATGTTTTATTTTACCACTTGTATAATAAACAGTTTATATTTTAGGGTTTTTCCATATAAATTTGTAAATAAAAACTTTAGTAGTTTAAAATCTATACAATCTATAAAATAGAAGATTCACTTTTTAACTAACCTATTTAGATGGCATTAGAATTATAATATTTCTTAGTCCATTTGAAAACGTAAATAAATATATTTTAATAAAAAGTAAGAGCCAATTTCAAGCAACTAAAAATAATAAAACATATTATATATTATATTTGTACTGAAGTTGCGGCTTTATTTCTTGTTTAAAGCAACAGAACATGTCTTATCACCAACTTCAGAATATGAAACTATTGAAGTGTAAACTACTTTAGAATTGTTGTGATTTGAAACTAGAGAAAACGAAAAAGTGACACTAAAACAAACATATAACATACGACCATGAAGCAAATACAAAGAGGAGTCGGCATAAGCAACTGTGCACTGTGATTCTAAGTAGGTCCTGACGTCATCATAGTGGGCGTGGCTTTAGTTAGTATACTGTCAGCATTCGTCCTGTGCACTTGTGTTGAAAATCGTAAATCGGTATATTTTCGTAGTTTTAAGAAGAAAAGGATGAAGTGTGTTTTATCGTGTAAAAACTACTCAGCTAGACGCTCTGATGCTATGGATGGGATCACATTTCATTTGTAAGTAATTTTACATCTAATTTATTAAAATAGTTCTAGAAAAATCTCTTTACGTCGGCTTTCAAATATAATTAAATATATTTGACACTAGATGGCGACATTTTGTGTCATGTGAACTAAAAATATAAAGCTACGTAGAGCTCAGTATAGGTAAATATTATTTTTATAGTTTATAATCATTTTGTGAACAGGCCGCCATCTATCGTCAAGGTAGGTATACTAAATTGCAACATCGATATGGAACGATTCAAGTAGTTTTACTATTTATCGGTAGATGTAGATTGTGTAAAGTGGGCGGGGCTTAACATCCCCTCACCCCGCAAATTGTAACACGTTGTTACATAGTGAAATTTAACTACACCTCCTCTTTGTATTTTCTTCATGTATACGATTTAGCCTGCGAGTGAATGAGATAGAATACAGTATACAGTGTTTCCTATTATGGATGTGATCTATAAGCAGTAAAGATTAAGGACGAAATTTGTTGATGAGAAAATATTTAAGTACTTACGATGATGAAATTGAAAACTTTGAGCTTGTATAATATTTTATGTAATATATGTTGAATAAAATGTAAAACAATTTTTAAACTTGGTAACAATATTATAATAAATGAACCCTACAGTTATCCTAATCCTCATACTCTGCATACGTCTCATTCTCTCGAAGTTTAGTTTTCTTAAGGTTTCACTTCTACCGCGTGTGAACGGCGAACACATGTTGTTTTTTTTTTATATTCATATAAATTGTTCTAAAGTCGGCTTTTAGTTGTACGAAAAGTTTTTTTTCGATTACGAGTTTGATAATAATGAAAATGTTTTCGCATTTCGAAGTCTGAAGTTATTAAGTACCTAAACTTTACGCCGCAAATTAACACGCAATGTGTCGCAAATTTGTTCTAACCTAATCGTATACCACGTTATACGTTTGCTTGAATATGGTTCTTTTTTGCAATAACTTGCGTATAGTCAGAACCGACAACAATTATTTGATATGGTTGGGGTTTGAAACTCGGATCGTAATATAGACTGTAAACTTTGTGTCGTAAATAGTAGACCTTTGCGGAACTTTAATGTTCTCTAGACAGAATTTTGGACCGGAAAACTGGAGACCATTTTTCTGGAAACGAGGCTTTCCACCTTAGTCCTCAGGTATGACAACGCGTCTCCATTTTGAACCTTAATCGGGAATTATCATCGACCATCAGATTGTAGCATTTTAATTTCAAAAAGTGCTTTGTAAAAACCTATTTTGAATAAAAATATTTGAATTTGGCATAATTTAACCGACCCTAAGATCTTCTTCTAGTATGTTCTTTTCAGATCAGTGTATTAATTTATAAATAACAATTTTACTAGGGCCAGCTTGGATTGATACTTCTTCCTAGATGTAGTATATTCTTTATGACCTGTTATTATCGGTTGTTTTAATAAAACTACGTCTTTAATAATTTGCAATAAAGTACCTATTCATAATTAGTTGCTCTGTTCAATCGAGCGTAATGATATAGAATATACAAACAAAATTTACATAATTACTTTACCCTTAATATAAATATATGAAGAAGAAGTCAGTGAATTTATTTGTACTACAAGAACATCCTATTCCGTTATAGTCATTAGAACCGCGGCAGCTCAGGATTCAGAGGCAAATCTATAAACGTACGTGAGCAAACGGATTTCAAGCCCCCTCGGCGCAAATGAAATTGCATTTCGATATTAAGTAACGATTTATGCTCGTGCTCGACGGTGAAGTAAAACTTCATAAGGAATCCTGCATAAATATATATATATATATATATATATATATATTTATACTTATATTATATACGTGCAGCTTCATGGTCACTTGGAAGAGAAGGCCAAATTGTCCTCTAAAAAGCTTGGCGTGCTCAGCAGAGCGGGACAGTATTTCATGCCGGCACACCGCCTGCAACTTTACAAGGCGCAGGTTCGGCCTCACATGGAATACTGTTCACATCTCTGGGCAGGGGCTCCCCAGTGTCAGCTCCTTCCACTTGACCGCATCCAGCGCTGAGCGGCTCGAATTGTCGACGACCGAGTCCTTTCCGATCGGCTCGATTCATTTGCACTGCAAAGAGATGTAGCTTCCCTTTGCATTTTCTTTCGCATTTACCACAGGGAGTGCTCTGAGGAATTGTTCGGATTAATCCCATCCGCCAAATTTCACGAACGTACATAGCGGCAGAACTCCCGATACCATCCACACCATCTGGATGATTGGCGGTCCACCACTGTGTGATTTAGAAGATGTTTGCTTCCTCGCATGACTTCCTTGTGGAATCGATTACCATCAGCGATTTTTCCGGACCGAAACGACTTAGGGACCTTCAAGAAAAGAGCCTACTTCTTTTTAAAAGACCGGCAACGCATCTGCAAATCCCCTGGATCCCCTGGTGCTGCAGTTGTTTATGAGCGGCGGTAGACACTTACCATCAGGTGAGCCGCATGCTCGTTTGCCCCCTCTCCTAATAAAAAAAATATGAAGTCTGCCCATACGCATTAGGGCAACGCGGCGGACATTTTCTTGCGCTAAACCCTCCCAGAAATAAGCTACTGCTGCACCACTGAGGCATGTACCCAGCAGTAGGTCGTATATATGATGTAACTTAACTTTACTTTAACAAGAACAGAACTTATTAAAAAGTGGACGTTTGTAGTATAATGTATATTTTTAATTGTTAACTTTATATAGAAAATACCGCAATTGTTTGAAAAGTCCATATGTTTCGTATAACAATTGCTAGATGGACCCAGAGAGAAAACGAAAAATAACAGTAACTAATGAATTCAAAAAGATATTATTACAAAAGTGGTAAGTAAATGTTATGAACCAGAGACAAATTGAGACAAATATGTCACCTTTGAGACCTACACTAATAAAAAAAAGTTTCCGGTTCTTTTCTTGCATTTCGTTACAAAATCAGTGCGATTTATATAAAACACACCTAAAATTGTTGATTTTATCGCATTTTATGTTGGCTATGGCAGAATACCAGCGGTGACCTCAAATCACTACATAGCTGAGTCACATGCCAGTTTGTCTCATTACTTTTATGTTACTTAAGCGTGTTTCTAAGATAAGTTTGTGATAATCATTTTTGTACACTTTTACAACAACAACCATGTGTGAATTGAGACATATAAAAATCTTTATTATTATTTTTTTTTATTCATTTAGTTTTAAATCTCGGTTTCTACCGGTTTACTTATAGCACGAGCCTAAGCCAAGTGCATATTAGTGCTAGATTTGATCATATCCTGTAAGGTACCTTATTCAGTTACCTCTGTGTTAGATCGTGAGGTAATTTACCTAAATAAAGGTGTGATCTGTTCTTCAGTTTGCAGGAACTTCCTAACTATTCTGCATGTATTTAGAATTACAGCTTTCTGTAACAGTTTGTAGGTGTTGGTTGGTAAATTTAGGGTTTTACAGATTGGTGTAATTGCTGCGGTATTGCGCCTGTTGTTGATAGTACAATAGGCACTATAATTACTTTTTGAAGATGCCAGAGTCGGTCAGTGAATCTCGTACGTGCTGGAAACACGGGTGCAAGCAAATTGGTTACTCGTTTGCCATTAATTAGTAGCAGCATTGGGTTATGGAGCCTTATTGATTTAAAGTTGTATGTCGCTAGTTTAGAATCAAGTTTGTGCACTCTTAGATTTGGCTCCGGAATGGCAACACAGTCTCCAATAATCGCACCACGTCCATCTGCCCAGTTATATACAGTCACACAAACGCACTCCTTACTCTCGTCAACTATGGCAAATGTGAAAGGAACAGCATTCCCATTGTGTATGGAGCCGGCCACCCTCCCCAGCACGACCTTGCCCTCATAAGCGCCTTCCACTAACGCATCCAAACGTGAATACTCCAAAAGGACGTCACGCCGCGTACCAAATGTATGAAAATTGCCCGGCCCGTAAACATCGAGCATCTTCTTATCAAGGGACTGCACCATTTGTGCAAAGCGCTTGGCTTGCACCAGTTTTGTGCGTTCGATTTGTGGCGGCTGCCACGGCGGATCCAAACGACAGGCGTAATCGAAGTTTTCCAACGCCTCATCGTAATGCTCTTCGTACTTTAATGCAATTCCTTTATTGTAATACAAATCAGGTTGTCCTTTAGCTATTGGATCCAACCATGCTTGCTTGTATGCACTCAAGCACAACTTCAAGGTAGCTGGATCTTGCGCTACTGTGAAGAATTGGCAAAGATATGCATTGCCCAATACTGCCCATGAAACACCATCTTTAATATCCTGCGAAACTGCCTCCTTGGCTAATTCAACACTTTTCAGGATCGGGGAAACTGCTTCACTGCGCTTTTTGCCACTACTTTCTTGTCGAAGGATGATTGAAAGACAACGTAGTGAAAGACGGTTTCGTTCATGTTTCAGGGCACCTTCAAAGCTAGCCTTCGCATCTTTAACATTCATATTTTTCCAGTAGCACTCGCCTAATTCATTCCAAGCATCAACAAGGTGAGGGTTTAATTTTACTGCTTTGCTAAGACATTGGAATGCCCTTGCGTCGTACGTAGTACAGATGTTATAGCATCGACCTTTTAAAATTTCTCAACTAGCAAATTCTTTTTCTCTTCAACATATTTATTCTTCTCTGCTGCTAGTTCAAGTGAATTGTTTTCAAAATACAAGTCTCTGAATGCATACAATTCTTGAAGCTCTTTCGAGAGCCCATCCAAGATTTCTGTAATATTTTCCAATACATTAGCATCGTTTACAGAATCAGGCTGCGCCATTTTAACAAACAGAACAAATAAGTCTTGAATTGCAAAGCCAAGCAATTCGATAATAATTTTCCTATTTTCAGAAACAATATCACAAACCCGACCACTGGCGACCGACAAACTGACCTTACTTCATCTTTAAGTTTTGTATATTTAGAGAGGTTATCAGCTATTGTAGTTTGTAGATTGTGCGTATTAGAGACTGCTATATCTATAAGGTATGCGGTTTTGTTAATTTTATTAATTAGGGTAATATCTGGTCGGTGACAATGAATGGTCCGGTCTGTGAGGATAGCACGGTCAAAGTATATCTTCGTTCTGGAGTTCTCTAATATGCTTTCTGGGTTATATTTATAATAGGATTCAATGGACTTTATTAGTTTCTGTTTGTGAGCTAGGTTTTGGTGAATAATATTTCCAACTTAATCATGTGTGTGTTTGTGATCTGTTTGGGCTATTGCTTTACACGCACTTGTAATATGTTGAATACTTTCTGCACAACTGTTGCATTTTCTGCACTCATCAGAAGCTAAGGTTTTTGTAAATGCTTTTGGTACTTTCTGGTCTCTATTACTTGATCCTGTATAGCAATCATAAAGCCTTCAGTCTCTGGAAAAAGTTCGCCATGAATCAACCACGCGTTCGATGCTTCTTTGTCGACATTAGATTGACTGATATCACGTCGATTTTTTCCATGTAGAGACTTATCAGCTCATTTGATGAGGTTTGTTTTGTTATCGGTCAGTTTTTCGGAGTTTTGTGTAGTATTTTCTTTTGAATTCAATTGTGTTAATTTATTATCATTTTGTATTATGGTCTTGTAGATTGTGGAAGATTCTGATTTATTGGAGAAGTACTGTATGAGGGTTATAATTTGCTTGTTATGTAAGTTTGTTTTACCGATATTACCCTGCTGCCTTCTTTTCTTGGCAAAGTCAGTCTAAGCAAACATGACCTTGGATGATGTTTTCGAAATTTGGTTAGTGTTGTGTTTTTATTATGCGTTGTATAGTTTTTAAATCAGACTTTGTCCAGTTTATTTTGCCGAAGGAATAAGTGAGTATTGGTATAGCAAAAGTATTGATGGCCTTTCTCGTGTTTCGTGCGTTTAATTGTGTCTTTAGTATTGTGTTAAGTGGATGTCGAAACTGTTGTTCTAATTTTTCTTTCGTTAGTATATTTGTAGTATATTTGTCGTGACTGGTTGTAACCTAGATACTTGTATGCCTTCTGTTCATCTTATCTCCAGTTTTCAAAGTAAAATGATGTTGATAGTTATGACCTGCTTTGATAGAGTTTATTTTGCATTTATCTATTCCTAACTCTATTTTCATGTCATTTGTGAATTGTTCTATTATTATTTAATTTAGGGCTCATTTTGTACTTATATCGTTTTGAATGTTTTATCTTAGGAGACAACAGTCCCTACAAACCTCAGTGTATAGTAACGTCCTAATGTCGCAATTACTGTGTTCAAAAGCCAAAGTCACATTATCACTATCGTTAATAATATATATTATTTTGAAATATTAATATTTTTGGTTGAAAATACAAGTTTCAATCGTGACGTGAGTATTCAATCGCGTGTTGTATCGATCATTTCCTTCGCATGTGAGGCCTGTGTGTTCCTAATAGGCGAACATTGTTCAGTTTTCTTGAATAACACCAACATTTCTATTAATCTTTATTATTGTTACATCTATTATTATTATTTGGATTACCACATAGTAAGGTAAAGTAGCAGCCCACATGCAGGGCGGAAGCCTCATTGCTTTGACAATTTTGGAGCAGGGAGAAGTCCTCCACTCTACTCAAATATGTGTTGATCGACTTCACACTTACTTTATTGTCAGGCTTATCATGTTGTTCCTGTACTAGGTTTTCTCGTGATGTTTTTCTTCGCCATTAAAAATTGCAATTGTTATTTCTTTGGTGCATTTTCACGTCGTATACAAAGAAATAAAAGCAAATGTTTACCCATGATACCACGATTTAGAATAACAATATTATGATTCATTATAGAAGTAAGATTATGACAACATCACAGCACACCTGGGAATGCAGTTGCCCATAGATATCTATAAATACCCTCGATTGAAAACAAATTAAGAGTATAATATGCAAGTCTAGTCGGTAAGCAGATAATCTTCAAGAAATATGTAAGTTTAAATAACTGAAATGTGCTACCAATAACACTGCTGAACTTAAGCCTCCCGCGAGGTATGCCACAAAGCACAGTTCTGAGCCACCTACATCCATCAATTTCCTGTAACTCTTACCAAATACTACTCCATCCAGTTAGAAGTGGGCTACACATCGCTTGCTGGTACGAGGCTGCCAATCGTGAACCTTTCTTACTCATCAGTTGTCGGTTCTATGAGCAACGGCCCATTGCCGCTTCAGATTTCTAATTCGTTGGTCTATATCGATTACTCAGGTTCATCTATAGTCATCTTCTTAGCTCACTGAGCGATCAGGAACTTCCTTATACATCTAGCAGTGAGGAGGTAGAAATAATATACCATATGCTATTATATTTCATATACATTACACTCGCAATCATATAATAATACTGGTATTAATACTAATTTGCAAAAGTATGTATAACGGCTGTAATCAAAATTATTTTACGCAATTACCATTGCTGAAATTGCGAATTTGAAAAGGGTCATAATTACCATAATTTTAATTCCCTCGCGCACCTGAATTAGAAACAAATTACCTACAAATTATGAACCTGATTTTGCTCCACGGTAATTATAATATTAATTTTTGATTTAAATTAAGGCTTGAAATTAAATATATTTATGGTTGAGCAGTGTAGGTGCAATATTGTAACGCATTTTGCTGACAGCTCACTTTTGTATGTCACCCACACCGATCGCCTGACTCAGCAGGCAAATTCAAGGGAAACCAAAAAGGTATTAATTCAACGCAAGCGACTGCAGAGTTGGCATGCATAAGCATTTCGGCGAGAATCCTAGATTTTTGGGTGGAGATGCCGCGTATGTGATTTCCGCAGTTCGAGGCAGTTATGGAACCTCGGTAGCAAAGCGACCTAGAAAATTTCCAGATGTTAGTAGCGAAGTTGACCAAGGACGCTTTACAGCAAGCACACGATCTTATTTTGACACCGCCAGCAGAGAAAGCGTGCATAGTGTTGAAACAGCTACTGTTAACAGATTTTGAAGATATCGCAGAACGGCAGAACGGCTTTCAGAAGTTAGTTAGCGTAATGGATTTAAGATCATAGTGCCCGTCACAGTTATTACGACGAATGTCAGAAATAACACGGAACACGGAAGTATCTGACGATGCCCTAAGACGATTATGGATATTGCGACTCCCAAACTCAGGGAAAGATGTACTATTGATGTCAAAATACGAAACTAAACAAACTCGCGATGATGGCAGATAAGATCGCTGACGACGTAGCTGCAGTTTCAGCGGCGACACCAGAAGGCACATCAGTGACAGAATTATCAGCCATGATGACCAAGTTGGAAACAGGGCTTAGGCTTAGTTGTGCGATATTGGAAATAGGAGGGAAAAATTAATAATAATATCATAATTTATTGACAGACAACAAAAACATAAATTACTCCTACAAAAATTAAAGTTGTTTTAAATTTCTATAAATTAAATATTCTTTGTTCCGTCTCGGGCACACTCCGGCCCTGACTACTCTTGATAAAATACTAATATTATCAAACGCATCGTCAGTCACCTTCGGCGTCCAAAAACTTAAATACGAGTACGCAAAGTTTGTAAGCGAACGGTATAGTAAGTATGTGCGTGTGAATTAAACCTAAAAAACTAAACGCACTAACCCTCTCCCTCCGGCGCGAAAGAAAATTTTTGGTAATTTCTCATAGCGTAACAAAAGTCTATTTTCTTATTTCTCATTCTCTTCATTCATTACAGACATTCCGATTGTAATAGGATAAATAGAAGTATTCCACTTCTTTACTGTGCGCACTACAAAAGCCAATCCGACCGTTTGGTTCTGATGCGTATCGAAGAAAAGTGGTGGAGACTCGCTAACTATCTGATTCTTCAATAGTGGAAAGGGGAAGAAGGAATGTCATGTAATTTCTGCGCAAACTCTCCATAATATATTCTATAGAACAAGAAGAGGCTGGCTACTCTGCAGCTGTGCTCGAGGCTTTCAACTAAGTTAGTCCAATGCTGCTAGTACTAGGTGGTATTTTGCAACACAAGGCCATATGTGACAGTAGTATTTCTTATACGAATGAACTTGCGCTTTATAAAGGATAAGAAACAGTCCTGATGTGGAGTACCACCACACATGTATCAGACACCTTGTGGCTACTTTGACCTTGGAATCCTTGTTGTGTATTGAAATTCGGGCGGGGTGAAGTAAGTCGGTTTGGCGGAAGAGTGTAAGTGGCCAATCTGTACATAGTGCTGTAATATATTTTGTGACATGGGACTAACATACATATATACGAAACTAAGACAGTTAAGAATTACGTATTTTTCTTCATCTTTTTTATTAGTAACAGTTTATTGCTGGATGTGGGCCTTTCCTAGGGTAAGAAAAATTTCCTTAATCGTGATGCTTGATTAGATTAGCGATAGCAGTACCAAACGTCTCATACTTTTAACTCTGATCTGCGTCTATGGCATGTTTTTGTTAAATAAAAGAGATAGTCATACCGCCATTCT